TATTTCACCTTCTAACACACAGGTGAGCAAATGAGTAGGTTGGAGTGACCTGGGAGCAACACAAGAGTTAAAAATGACAATACTGAAATAATTCTTGGTTTTTAATGACAGGAACTGTGATTTACCTGTTGCCATAACCCATGTGCCATGCTGCAGCTCTGACATTCATCAGTAGGTAAGTGCAAACAGAGTCCATATGAGAAGTGCTTAGTGGTAATTCAAATTGATTTTTAGATGTTTTTACATTGATTCTATATTTAATATTGATTTGATAACTTTAAGTAAGCTGTACTGGAATACTCCTTCAAAGGTAGCTGTACTGCTAAACATTTGTGCTTCTGTTGCTTCATCTGTTCTTTTTTTGAAGGAATATATGAACAAAAACAAATACACCAAATGTGCTGGATCCCATTAAAAAAAATTGCACAACAAAAATAAAGATAAGAAAGCCAATTTTCTCCTCACTCCACCCGTGCTTTCTCTACTGACTTCAGAGGAATCAAGCCAAGGTCATACAATTTGGTTCCCAAATAGACTCTTCATTCTTCAGTTGGGTCAAGATTGCAAAATGATGCTGGAAAAGCATTTGTTCACCAGAAAAGGGTGTTGTTTTGTACCCTGCATGGGAGTAAGACATGTGAGGAACTGTGTTAGGTAAGAAATTGTTATTCTGGTCTTAAACCTGGTACATATTGGAGGCATAGCCACCAGCTGCAGGTGAGGGCCCATGGAGCCAAATTTTGCCCTCCTCTGCTACAGTTTTGTTGGGTGGCTGTATGTTCAGGCAGATATATAGCTAATAGTTCAGTCCCCCATGTCCTCTTCAGCTGAGCTGGATGAGAGTAGAAATTTTTAAAGATAAAAGAAAGCCACAAGCTGGCATGCATATGTCACTTGCAATGATTAATTTTAATTACAAAATCCCGTCTCCAGTTAATCATGAGTTCCTAATGAGAATTAGCTCAGAAAAACAGAAAAGACACAAACAATATTGCGTGCATCCAGTAACTTCTGTTGGGGCTTTCAAACCTACTCAGTATTTGGGGAATGTCTGGCTTTTTCCAGAACTAATCACTGCTAAGAAAGGCAGAGGAAAGCCAGGATCCATGCTATCATTGTTGCATGCCTGTGAAATTAGCTGAAAACTGTAGGTTCTTTCCTTGAGCCCTTACTGACACAGGACAAGGACCTGCTCAACACATCATGGAACACATTGTGCCTCTCCAGAGGTGTTGCTGCCTGGCATTCATCACTGAGATCCCCAGGGAGAGATGCTCAGAAATGGATCAGTTATAGATGTTCATGGCTGTGATACAATAGAACAACTCCTAATCCATGCCAGCACAGTACCTCTGAAATTTCTGCTGGCAAGGTGAAGATGAGGATATTCTCCAAGCAAAGACCATAACTCATCTTCCACTGATTGGGTCCTGAGCTGAGCTGAAGACCTGTGGTTGTGACCAAACTCCTCATTAGGATCATCCCTAAAGTTTCAGCTTCATGCCTTTTGTGAGCTACGGGTTGATGGTTGGACTAGATGATCTTAGGTCTTTCCAACCTTAATGACTCCATGATTCTATGTATGAGCAACATGCAGCACAGGAACTAACTGGATTGCTGAACTTGATTATCTAAGAGTCTTTCCCAACCTAAGTGATTCTATGCTTCTATCTAGCTATAAGGGTATCCCAGTGTATTTGTCAGCTTTAGGGCCAATTAAACTTGCAAACTTGAATGCATATAACTTTTTGTTATGTATTGCACTAATATGTGAGCCATTACCAAACTGGGGCTGCGGTGAAGATGATAATATTTACAATAATAAGAAATAACAGTGAGGATGCTGCTAGGGAATGGTATCTGGCTTCCATTCAGAGCTGAAGATCAGCATACCTGACCCCTCAGACCTTTTTTCTGCTTTTCCTTTCAGTTATGCTATTGGTTGCCAATCTCTTCAAGGCAATCTCTTTCTCTTCTGAATGCATATTTCACACCAAGCAGTGCTTCCTGGATTTCCCTTCCATGCACCAGAAATCCCAAGCCAGTCTTGGCCTGTGGTTCGGATGCTCATCATTTGCACTTTCTAATGGGCAAATGTTCTGAGATGGTTTTTTCATGCTTTCAGCCAGTTCAAGGTGCAGTGGGGTTGGGAACAGGGTTTTGCCAACATTTGCCAAATTCTCAAGGTTCAGTGCTGTGTTTGAGTGCTGAGAAAGGAAAACAAGCACTGCAGTGGGAGAAAATTTGACTAAAGAATTAGTGCAATATTTTAATACTGCTTCATATTTTAAGCAAGATGACAACTCTGACAAGAGCATAAGGAAGTGGGTATTAGCAGCACATAAAAAAACCAAGTGAGAAGATGGCTTGCAATGCCAGCCAATGTAAAGGAAACAAGTTTCTACCAAATGGGCAAGTTTCTGCAGTTACAACATGTATTTTTACAAAGGAAATGAAGGATTAACATTGATTTTCACTGACTTCCTTTTGCTTTTCTTTCTATTTAAAACAGGTAGTTTTTTAAACTTCCCCTCTACTCCTGTAATGGATTCTACTCTTATTTTGAACTGTTTGGCAAATTATGACCTACGTAGGGGTGGAAGATTCAAAATGTTTCTAGGCACATCTCAGAACTGTAACTTCTGAATCTTAGCCATCACATCATTCCACATCATCAATTAACCCCAGATTTTGATGAAATAGTTATATTCCAAAGAAGATAAGAGTTGTTTTTAAGAATGAATTGCCTCATTTGAAAACATTCTATTTTTCACTTTCACATCACTCAGCATGTAAGTAACAGCTCTGATACCATTAAAGTTCCTGTGGCACCCCATCCTGTTCAAGCTTATATAATACAGTAAAATTGCAGTTCAGTTTAGTAAAGGAAGTAAAGAATAATTTCACTCAATGAGGTAGATCTGGTTTTAAACAAATCCATTACATTTTTTAAACTATCTAAAAGAAAATTATTTCTTGATTCCAACAATTTTAAAATATTTTTGAATCTCTGTGAACTTTAGTTTTTGAGTTATCTACAGGAGATGACTTGTTTGGTTAGCAGTACATTTCCAGGCATGGACATCTGAGGTCTTTTTTCAAGTTATTTTCACAAACTGTAGAAGAGGACACTTACCCAAGACAAACAAGCTAATTTCAAAACAGCTAGTTCCTGAGAGAACCAGTTACTCATTAACAGCTAAACAAATAACCCAACACTGATCAAGATAAACTTCAGAAAGACTCAGCCTGTCAGTTCTACTGAATGAAAAAAAAAACATAAAGAGCCCCTAGCAGGTTTTGGTAATTAATTTGCGAAATTATATTGAATTTTGAGGAGATTTATACCACTCTAAAAAGTAAGAAGTATCTTGCTGTTCAGCAGAGTGATAAAGTGAAATATCTGCTTTAAATGTCATTTTTGGAGTAGAGTGGTGTCTCAAAACCTTCCCACAAAAATAAGAAATAAGATCTGTATCTAGCAAAAAAAATAACAAAATAATAATAATAATAATAAAAAGAACGATCCTTCTTGGGACAGAGAAAGAACTTTTCTTGAAGCTAATTTTAAATTCTGAATTCTTTGGGCCTTTTTACTTCATTTTTCTCCTGAGAAATTCCGTTTCCCACTATAATAATTCCAAACATTTTATGTTGTAGATAATAGCCCTTTAAAAATGTTGATTATTTTTTGATGAGGAGTCAACTAATGAGAAAATGTGAGACCATAAAAATCCCATCTCCATTTCACTAAGCTTCTTAACAAGTTAAATGAAATATGGCCAAAACTCTCCAAAGGCATCACCAACATTAGAATCTCAGTTACATGATGGGTTTTATGCTGTACAACTCAAATGTCCTCTGCTTTTCAGGCAGTGAACAATTAATGTCACAGAATAGTGCTTTCTTTAATCTAGAACACCTTTGACTTCACAAATCCCAAATATCACACAATATGCTTTAATTCTGTGACCAAAGTTAAAGTCTTCCTATATTGAACTTAATGAATCTCAGCCACATTCTTTATGCATCCTAAGAGCTAATAGACCATTTTGATACCAAGATACCAAAAATAAGTCAAGTGATCCTTTGGATATTGCTTCTCAATCTAAGTATCTACGAACAAGTATTGGATACATGGTATATTGTGTGAATAGCCATGTGGGTGGCATTTTTTTTCCCAACAGTTAAATAAGAATCCAAGCCATATTTAGGAGTGAAACATAACTTTTAAGGCAGAAATATCGATAATAACTTTTTGCATAAGTCATATAGGGAGCCAAATGTGTGGTATGCCATCAAGAGCTCCACCAGCATTTGCAGTATCTTGTAGGATCTTCAGGACATGATGCTTCGCAGACCAAGGAAATGAATAACTCCAAAAGGACCAGGAAGTGAAACCATCCCATTTCAGCCCAAATATTACTGCCGATCCAACTGAAGTTGGAAGGTCAGCTGCTTAAATACTGCCTCTTCACCCTTTGCCCCACACCTCCTACCTGCCTGCCCTACGCTTTCAGCTTTTTAACAAAGGCGGTAGAGGTTATTACAGAGGAAGCGAATAGGAATCTCACCAGTGTTGTTTGGAAGAACCCGAAGGTTTTCAAATTCTAGCATGGTATAAGAGGAATCCAAGGAGTCGACGTAATCTGGCATATCCATGTCCATGATGGACTGACACAGCTTCATTATTACTTGTCAACTGCAAGGGAAGCGGCAAAAACAGCCCTACTGTCAATCACGGCCAAGTTTTCCTCTGCAAAGAGAGACACCCCAGCCCTCTCCGTGACAAATCATTACCTAGCTCTGCCCACAGTCCCCTCCCAATGCCAGCAGAGAAGGGACGAAACCTTTCCTTCTTGCTTGCAGTCCCCTCCCTTCCCGGGGTGCATCTGCGCTCTCAGTCCTGATAATATGGTACAGATAAGGCCTAGACTCAAACAACCTGGATTGCATCTTTGGGTCAATACAGCCCAGTTTATGGCCATTCCTGCGCAAACATTTTGAGAAGGACTGCAGAGAGGCGTTCACATATGCACTGCTTTTCCCGTGCCACTGCAATGTCACCTTGCTTGGCTACCAGCCCTTGGGAAAAGATCAAGTGATGTCACTTGAAGCTGCTGAAGCCATGAGTCAGTGCCACCACTGGCTGACGACCGTTAAGATAGATCGGTGTTCAGAGCTTGAGGCATTGCCAAGAGAACATGGATCACATCCCGACGTACGACTGGAAGGGGAAAATGAGGAATCATTACAGCCAGATGCATGCTTTCACCCTGCCCCACGGACAGAGGAAAGGTAATTTCTCTCACCAGTCCTGTTTCTCCATCCTCCTGGCTCCAGGCAGCCCAATTTCTCAGAACTCCCACTGAGCTGCAGTTGCAATTTGCTGGGACAGAAGATTTCAAGTGATGGCAAATGACAGAAATGGAAAAGGCTGGAAAGAACCAGGCAGACTCCCTCACAGATGTGTGGTGCTTCATTTCATGTTGACTTATGTTTTCCTTTCCTGGGAAAGGCCCATGTTATGGAAGTATAATTCCAGCTTTTCCCCAGGGACTGTGCTGTTGGGTTTTTAACTTACCAAATTATGCGTAAAAGTCTTTTTCACTGTGACACGTAGCACAAAAGACTGGAAATAAAACACAGCCATGAATTTCCCCCAGAATTGTACCTTGAAGTAGTTGGTTTACTCCTGGTTTCATTCTCCAGATGCCTTCCTGGACCTTACAGTCCCATCTCCAGTGACGTTGTTGTGTGTCAGAGAGCCCTTCCTTTCCATGAGCTGTTCTGCAAGATACAGTTCAACATCCTGTTGAATCTAGAGGAAAGAAATCTTGAGAAACAGGGAAGTGCGTTGCCAGAAAAAAAGCGAATGCCAGATGGCCTGAACTCTCACTGAACCACAGATCAGGGCGGCCCTGTGTATCCTAGCAAACTCAAAATAGCAAGAAATATGCCAAAACTGAGTTTCTAAATGTATTCAGATTGATTTCATCTACACAATCTTTGTTTCATATGTGGGCAGTCAAGATTTGTCCACATCCTTGGGACTTACAGTAGACTTTGCAATGGGTTAACTCTAGATAGGCTTTTCCCCTATAAAGATTGGGTGCAGGAACACTTACCTTTCCTTTCTTATCATTTCTGGGGCATAAAATAATCTCATGTGCCATAGATACCTTTTTCCTTCTTTCCTTTTTTAAGTACATGTTGTAACCAGTGGTGCACAAATGACTCCTTGGTTAGATAAGACATTATGTTTTTATCCTTGGACTATGTCCCCAGGCTTTCAATAATGCCAGCATCAGCTAAGTTAGCATCTGATTAGTCTTTCTTACCTCTTACTCAATGTCATTCTTGATTATGCCTACTAATTTGGCACATCTTTTTGAACTGAGCTACGGGCACAATCCTGCCTGATTCTCAGCACTCTGCTACCATTGCAGCCAAAGGAGGAGACTCAGATTTCCACAGATCCAGTGGGCTTTGTATGGGTTACTTACCACTAAAATAGTCATATATGCATTTGCCATGCTTTTGGGCATCCAAGACATAGAGAGAGGAATGTTGGGGCTCCTACCCTGATATCAACAGTTTAGATATGCTTCAATGTCCTCAATTTCTCAGTACAAAGATACAGAGTTAAGGCTCTTTTCCAAAGAAAGCTTGGCAGTGAGGATGTGCTTGAGCACTCTTTGTTCTGGCAACAAGAAAAGGGCACTGGGAAAGAGAAAAGGTTATAGTGCAAAATTCACAGTTTGGGACCAGACTCTCAATGTCACAGCCATGCTGATAATTAGGGCTGACTTTGTTATGGAAGGTGGTGCTGGAGTGATTGAAGGCCACTTTTCTATCCATTACAAACAGATGTCAGCACCCTGTTCCAAACCACACCACCAGCCCTGAAGAATACTGAAACTTTGTTGAGGGGTGAGCAGTTTCTTCTTTTTCCTCTCCTCATTTTCTTGCTTCATTTTCTGAGTTACAGCTGCACTTCAACTGCTATCATTACGAGGCCAGGACTGAGTTTAATTGTATTATATACACTGCAGCAAGGACAGAGGGCAAGCCCTAGCAAACACATGGTCACTGTGAGACAAGACAATTATTCCTAGGCATAAAGTCAGATGCTTTTGGGAGAGCTTATTAGACAAGATGAACTACAGAAAAAATAAGAAATCCTTGACTAATGAGGTAAGAATACAAACTAACAAGAACACTCTGTCAGAAGCAGCATTTCTCTGGCAAGGCAAGCAGTGGGAGATGTTTGTAGGCTTTTGGCTCAAAAGTTTGAGAGTTTTCTGCCTTTGCTCTTAGAAACAAATTGAAAACCATTATCACTAATTTCTTCACTCAAAAAGTGGCAATAAATACATTCTCTCCTCCCCTTGCAAGAGTTTGTGAGTATGAATTCACCAATGCATGGGTGGTTCTCCTATACCAGAAGTGATGGTAGGTGTAAAGTTACATATCTGGAGACAGGGTGGCTGGGCACAAACAATCAATGAAAGACTGAAGCCAGTAAGGCCTTTTCTCTGACTAAATTATAATTACAACCAGCATGCTGCTGGGATTGTAAACAGCGTGAAATCATATCATTAGCATATGATTACAAGTTCACACGTGGCAAATTCATCCAGACCAGATGTCTGCTAGATCAGTTCCCTCCTTTCTTATGGTGTATGACAGCACATTCTACTTGCGATACAGTTAACACAAGATACAGAAGAATCTCTCTTGACTTGTATCCTCATATAAGTATTTCTTATTACGATTAACAGTTTCATGGCACTGACTTTTTTTACTGTATAGTGAGGGGCTGCTTTTCCAAAAATCACCTAGGTAACTTAACACCATGTGTTTAAAAATATGGACTGCAGATATCCTGGGACTGGATATCCTGGGACTGCAGATATCCTGTCAGTGTCACCTAAACCAAATGTTGCAGGGCTGAACTGACTGTAAAGGATGCTCACAAGGTTAAGGTTGACAGTTACTGAGATGGGGTTTGCTGTTTTCTTACTCTTTGAGCACATTTGGAGGAGGATGTGCAAAGGAGTCTCCCCAGGGTTTCCTTCCTTCACAGTGCAAACTTTCACTCCTCATTTGAGGATGCTGGTCTCTACACAGCCCAATGGACAGGTCACTCACTTCTCAAGACAGTCTCTGAAAGCTGTAGCCCCCAATTAATACCATTTTCTTTGAAGTTAATGGCAACCAGCCAACTAACTGACACATTCACCCAGAAAAAGTTTGCCAGAATCTTCAATAAGCTTTGGGCTTGGCTTGGTGGCCATTTTGCGTTAACGCTCGTTTCATCCCCTGCCAGAAACCCACGGACATGACAGAAACCTGTTGATGTCCAAACCCAATAAATCTGGGGTTGTTTAGAAACAGACCACATTTCTATAGCAGGGCCAATGGTCAGTCAGTGAGTCACATCCTGCGGCAGTGAACAAAGCCTGAGTTAGGACATATACTTTTCTCCAAAACGACTTGATAGCATCTACAGGCAGGATGGCATTAACCAACCAGCCCTATTCGAGTCCCCATGAGGACCTAGATGTGATAGACAATGCTGTGATGAACATAGGATAACATGACACAACATGTATAAGGATGCCTTCTCTGAAGGAGGAACAGTGACACGGAAGGCATCAATTTTTGGGTAAAATGGAAAGGTAGGCAAATTCTGATCACTATGTTGAAACAATTCCTTTAGGATCATTTTTTAAATCTTTTTTTTTTTTTTTTTTTTTTTTTTTTTTTTTTTTTTAAAGACCTGTCTGGATTTGGGTGCATTTATGGATTCTAGCCATTACAAACCATTAAGCATACAACACAAAGACCCTGCCGCCAGACAAGTCAATGGATTCATGGAATTCCCAGTTATTTCTATGATGTACTAACTGTTCAACACAGATGAAACCTGAGCTGGATTTGGGAAATAAATCTGAGATGTTTCATATTCTTCCAGCAAGCAAAGGTTAACCTGGTAGTTTGTTCTTTCCAATTTCATGTCACTTTCATTCTTGGCTATGGTGCATTTGGCCAAGGCCAGAACTTCAGAAGTGATAAGTGCTCATTTAGTTATCTAAATGAAACAATCTGACCTTCAGATCTGTTGAGAAACACCCACTGGGAATAAAGACTGGATTTGCAGATGTCTTCATGTAGCCAGAGACCATTCGTATCTTGGAAATACATCTCCTGTTTTGAACACCTGAGTAAAATCAGATGTCACAGTCAACACGAAGTCTGCTGGGCTGTAACTGCCTTTGCAACTCTGTCTTTTTCTGGTGAATACATCACAGCAAACACTTGATACCTACACGCAGCAGTTTGAATTTCTGTTCTGCAGTTTTTTCAGAAGATGAAGTCACAAAAGGTGAATTCTCTCCTGACAACAAGAGAACGCAGAATCATTAAAAGATCACAGAGACCACCTAGTCCAACCATCAAAACATCACCACCATGCTCACTAACCATGTCACTCAGTGCTACATCTATCTTTTCCTTAAAGAACTCCATGGATGGTGACCCCACCACCTCCCTAGGCAGCCAATACCTCACCACAGCCATAGAGCTCACATAGCCATCATGAACTAGGCTAGATTCCTTGGCTGTGGGTGATGTTGGCCTCCGACTAAAGCAAATACACAAGCATGAACCAGGGCTGGCAGCAGGAGAGAGGAGCCAGGAATAAGGAAGCAAAATTACCTAATCTGCTGCTGCTCAGAGTAGGCAGGGGACTCATCTGGAGCATGCTGCTGCTGCTGTGGGCAAGGTTTTGGCTTTACTTGCTGAAAACGGCATGCCATCAGTCAGGAGTAACCAACCCTGAAAAGTGTATTTGCTATGACTCCCATCTCCCCTGCGAACGACATTCCTGCTGCTTCGAGCTTTTTCGGTTGCAGTGTTGACACTTCTTCAGATCTGTCATTAGCTCAGCTGAAGGGAAAACAGAAAAGCTATTCAGGCCCCAGACCCAATGTGGGAGGTTAGGAGTGCAAATTCTCACTTCACACTGAAAGCACGATGAGTGCTTTATGTTACTGTTGCTCTTTCTATTTTAGGGGATGCCTTTATGAGACATTTGCTGTCATACAAAGTAATTTTTAATGTAATCCAACAAATTAATGTTATTAAAATTAAATTTTTCACATTTCCGAGAATTAGTCTTGAACTTCTTAGATTTTTTTCCTGCACCTTATAAATATCTACCTCTGTTTTTGAAGGTGTTTAGCTATTTTGCTGGTTTTCTTTCATATTTTAAGACTTCTGTGATGAAGCCTAGATCCAGCTCTACCACCATGAGGATTCGAATCTCCCCCCATACTCACTTTTGGTGGTTGTAGGTTGCTGATTCCATCTTCATACTGCATTTTCATTACATTGGACAAAGATCAATAGAATTTGGCTGAGCTCCAGGGAATAGTCAAGAGCAATGAGTTGACCTGTGGCTGCGTTCACCTGAATCATCATCTGTGTTCCAGTAAATACAGGAGCTGAAAGCAAATTGCCTACCTGAGAAATCATGCAGCATTTCTGCGGAGTGGTTTTGATTTCTGTTCATGGCTCCTAGATTTTCTAGCTTTGTCATCTTGCAGACAAATTCATAGTTCAGAACAAACGTGGAATTCCTCCAAATTACTCATTTCCATGATCTTTCGTAAGAAAACGTTCAGCAGCATCATTTTTCTTGTTTGTGATTCTTGTCTCCGTTCCCTCCACATTTTTTACTATCTCACCCATCTGACAGCAACATTACTGGGGGGGGGGGGAGGAGGGGGGAAATCTGGGAGTGTTAATGGATAACATCAAAGAGAAGGGCCAAAAATACAAACAAGAAAAATCATTATAAAATATAGTTTAGCCTAGAAAACTGGACAAGAGCAGACCATATTTTTAAAACAAAATGAGGAAATCCAATGGTCCCTAGGAATCAGTGTCTCTCTCACCTCTATGGCCATGCATCTGGAAGTAGTCATTATAAACCATCTCAGATGGACAGTCAAAGATAGAAGATTATAATTATCAACATACATTTAATTTAGCAGTGTCATTCAGTAGTGTATCCTGTGGTTTCTCCAAGAACCAAAGCTTTGGGAAATACTGCTGGCACTCCAGTGAATACTGAAAAGAAATCCTGGTGTCTATTAAGTGCATATTTGTAACTGTACAGTCTCTGGACTACTCCAGTACACCCACCCACTGTATTGAACCATCAGCCCTACAACCCATGAGGACTTTTTCTTATTTCGTAGAATTATAGTCACTTGAGTTGGAAGGGACATTTAAAGGTCATCTAGTCCAACTCATAGAATCTGTGGAGTAAATTTCTATTTGAGCTAATTTCTATTTAGAATCAAGGTTGGAAAAGACCTCTAAGATCACCTAGTCCAACCGTACACCTACTACCAATATTTCCCATCAAAATAACGTCCATAAGCACTCCATCTACAAGATTCTAAAAAAGACATATCTAGTAGGAATATCTTTTAAAAAATACCTTAGTGACTGTGAAGAAATCTGATATAATGTAGTGATCCAGCAACAGCCATAAATGAAGAAGCCGTTGTTCCTCAGAGCCAACGAGTGCCAGATGCATCTTGCTCAACTCTTGACATTTCAGGCTTACTGCATTTCTCTATAGGTGGTTATGTTCTGCCTTCCTCACCCAAAGAGAGAAGCTATTTTAAAAGCATTTGGGTCAAATTCAGACAGATTTTCTTACTAAAAGATCCTTCTACAAGGAAAAAAAGTGTTAAGTAAACATACTGACGTGTTGGAAAGATGCTTTTTATGACTTTAAGCTCGGGAAATTATTATAAGCATTAAGCTATATTTTCCCCATAATATAATATTTTTGAATAATTCATTCTCTTCTGGACTGCCTTACTCATAATTGCTGCTCTCTTAGACTGGTGGGCATAGTAAAAGGAAGTGTTTACTGAGTGACAAATACGTTCATATACAGGACTCCTGGTTTTGCAGATGTTTTCAGGAAGCTATAACCCCTGATAAATCTTTGCAGACCACTGAGATGAATAATATTTGTGGATGCATTTTTGAGGCTACCAGACTGGAGAGGTATTTGTGGCTGTGGTCTTTACCACTCACACAGAAAATTATGTTTTCCTTACATCCGTCATATAGGTTATATTTTGCCATATGTCTTTAATTAGGCCAATTTCATGTTATGAAGGGTATGCAAAAATCAAATGAATTATTTAGAAAATGGAATTAACCATTTAAATGCAGTGACAAAATACACTCATAGCAAAGTACTTAAAACAAATGCTCTGAATCCAAGTGCATACTAAATGTTGCATGGATTCAGAAATTGTTGAATCCAGCCTAAATCGAATCTAAAAGGACATGCTTATTACAAGGCAAATTGCACAGAAGCCTTCGTTTCATCATAATGACCTCATGAACACAAAGTGAGTTTCTCTATCTTCTGCCTCTGACAAAGTTCTTCCTAATTTGGAGATCTGAGCTCGTTCAGAAGCACACACTCACCTAAGAAAGTTGGTTGGCCATGATTTCACAGTGCAGTGGAAAGTGAGCTAAAGTGAGCATTCCTATCAGTTCAGATTGGATTTAGTGTGGCTATAGCCACAATCCAACAGGCTCTAGCCAGTTTTGGAAGACTGCAAAGGAGGAATCTCTTCTCCATTCTTCATGGCTGTACTGGGAAAGGGATTTCTTTTTGTTATGATGACTGTGACCGCAATGATTTAGGTCAAACCAAACACAGAATATCCCACAGCACCCTCCAGCCAGTTTGCTGACTCAAAAACAGCTATCTGCAAGCTTCCAGATGCTGAAGTTATTCTCAGACTGAGTAATTTCATGACCATTTTGCCTCCTCATAAGAGCAAGACTGGGAGGGGAACTTATGATTGCGTTTCACACCAAATTTCAATTTCTGAACACCAGTAATGATTCAGATTCTGTCAATCCTGCAGTCTGTGCTGCTAATCTGACAATAGCAAGACACGAAAAAAAAAAACATTTGTCTGCTTTCTCCTTTCCCACTGTTAGATTTGCTTGTGCATTTGTTCACTCTAACAAACAGTTCCTAGAAACCCAGTGCTTGCTTACCTTGACAGTCAGAGCAGTTACCCTTCAGCTGCTGGTAATTGTGTTTGTTGAACAGCAATCCCAGGGGGAAACGTTCATCAGACTCCCAGATTTGGTGCTACTGGATTCCCCAGTGTAAAGCAGAAATGCATTCCAAATTAAAAACAAACAAACAAACAACAACAAAACAGCAAGGGCATTCAAAATATTTTTTAAAGGGAAAAGAGAGCACATATATCATATTGCAGTACTGGGGTATTGCAATACCAGCAGAAGTACAGTAGAGTATATGTAAGTATACAGAGTATATAGATAGTATATATAAGCATATATATACAACAGAGTATATATAGAGAGAGTACATACACTTATGCACATTAAAAATATGTATGTACATATGCATATATACATCTACATATAATATACATGCTTTCATGCTCAGCCTACTGTAGGAAACCTGCTCTAAGCAATGGGGTTGGAGTCAACTCTCTGGAGTTCCCCTTCCAGTGCTTGGCAGCCCAGACCACAACAGGAGTTGGAAATAAATAATCTCTGAGGTCCCTTCCAAGCCAAGCCATTCTATGATTCTACTATTCCAACTCCTACAAAATCTATGATTCTACTACTCTATATGTGTATGTGTGCAAGTACACGTATGCAATGCAAAAGTCATCTCTTCCACCCCTGCTTTTCTTCCTAGCTTATGTCATGGCTCAGAACAGAAGGTAAAAGGAAGCCCTCCATCCACTCTTGCCCTGCTCTGAGTTAATCTTGCGGTTCCCCTGCAGATGCTTGTGAGCCAAACACAATAACAATCTGGCCACATCTATCCTTTTATTTACGGCCTAACATGCATTGATTCTGCCTCCTTATGTTACACTTTGAAAGAGAGAAGGAAAAAATAATGGAGGAAAAAGAAGTAATGGTAAATGGAAGCTTTTCACCAGCTCCAATAATAATTCCTTGCAGGAGCCTATGTGTAAGGGGAAGAAGAGGCAGGATTTGTGTTAATGGGATGACCTACACGGACACAGCTGAAATGCAATGCCAAATAATGCGCTCAGATTCCCAGTGCTACAACTATTTTTCCTCTACCATGTGGAAGAAGCTGACCTCTGTCCTTTATTTTTGAGGTATTTGCAGTGGTGGTGGGGAAGTATCCTAAATCCTGAAGGAGCTCTCAAACCCCAGTTTCATTCCTTGTTTCAGTTATGTTTAGAGCACAATACAGGTTTGTTATCCTCCGTCCCTTGCTGAAATAGGTCAGTGTGGCCTCCCTTGCTAAAAGCTACCTGGCAATTATGCTTTGCCCCAGGCCAAAATTCTGCATAAAAAACACAGATGGAATATTAGCACAGGGAAAAAGATTCTTATTTATATTCCAGCAGCACTAAGGGGCTAGATGCTTTTAGACCAGGTGCTGTTCAGAAATGTGGTAAGAAACAGTCTCTCCTTCGAGCAAATAAAGAAGAAAGAAAGTAGGAAGGAAAACTGAAAGTGAAGCAAGTTGTCCAGGATGAAAGAAAAGGGCAGATCTGCTCAGCTGCAGATAGTGTCTTTCCCACCGAATTACACCACTGCATTATGACATACTCCTGAATTCATATCTCACAGTGTGGGAGAAAGTATAATCATGCATGCAATCATTTTAACTTAAAGAGGCACCAGGGAGTTGATCCGCAGCACTGATTCGTTTATACAAAAGAAGACAGACCATGGCAAGTATGGAAAAAAATTTAGCACCGTGTCACCAGCCAAGAAGCTGTCCACAAGTTTAGACAGAGTAAAGCAACATCATCATGGACTGAAATCCATCTAGTTTGGCCAAAAGTTCATTGACGCATATAGAAGGTAAAGATAAAAGAACATATCACTTCTGTTTTCATGGTTTTATAAAATGTATCATCCTACCATCTCTGTCCTGTTCCATGTTGGGCACTAAGAAGAATTTCTTCTCAGAAAGGGTGGTCAGGCACAGGCTGCCCAGGGAGGTGGTGGGGTCACTGTCTCTGGAGATGTGGCACTGGAGGGTCCTGGTCAATGGGCACGGTGGGGGTGAGATGAGGTTGTACCTTGGAGGTCTTTTCCAGCCTTGATTACTCTATGATGCTGTGACTCTATCTTTCTCCAGGACACCTCCAGCATCTCTGCTTGCTTCCGGTTAGGACTTTGTAACTTAAGTTTGCACCTGTGAAAAACTATTCCAACAATAGGCAGTTTACACCACCTGGCTGCAATATGACCAAGTACATAGTGAGGTTGGCCCACTTTTCTGCTCAGGATAATAAGCAATGCTAATTAGATTCTTTTTTTTTTTTTTTCTAGGAGAGTTGATTGAATCACAGCCAAAAGGCATATTTCCCTAGGCAATAGTCTGTTTAAATGAACTCTTATTGCACTGGAAATACTAGCATTTTAATCTGTCTGAAAGAGAGATTGGGGAAACAGAGTTCTCATATTGCTTGAACGCTTGATACCAGACAACAATTTCATTGTACTTCAAAGAAAGAGTGTGATTCATGTTTTGTGATACTGAGGGAAGCTGGACACTTTTCTTTGCCTTTTGTGTTTCTACTGTCAATGACACATGAATGGATGTTTATAATTTCCATGACCAGCCTAACATTTTTTCTCTGTCCCCATATTGCTGTAGGAATAAGCAGCATCAAATCTTACCCTTGCTTAGACTAGGAGTATAAATAAGAAGCACTTCTGCTTCTGTAAACTGAGTTATGTCAGCTGTATACTGTCATAACTGATCACCGAGTTTAGTTAAAGACATTAAGAAACCAACCAACATTTGCTGTATGCACAACAGATGATGCACTAATATGCATTGCTAAACCAAATGACTGTACAAGTATAATTATCTTTTTAGGAAATTCAGTCCAATCCCTGATTGAAAAATAAATCCCAAACAAGAGCTACAACGATAAGGGGCTTTTCAGAGAAAGCAATGCTTTCTCAGCCAAGTTCACAAGGTGGATGAAATAAATGATGAAGTCTACATCTTTAATTACTATTTTACATTTGTGTACTACGGGTAATCAACTCCCTATGCATCTTGAGAACCTACAGATAACAGGTTCAGACTGCTGGCTAACTTACCACAGTGTAAAGTAACTGAAAACAGGGAAACCATTCTCTTTACTATGCATATGTGTATCTACACCAGCACTACAGAATCAGCTCATTTAAAGCAGGGTTATTGGGATTTATTATAATTTTGAACAGAACTCAGCCCAAAATGCATCAAGAACACAAAGAAATCATGCTTGCAATGATATACGATGCAAACTGCAGCATTTAAGTTTCTTTTGCTATTAGGTTTTACTTGCATCATCAGCCACAGATACCCTGAAGCACTGCAGAACATGGAAACCTCTCCTGGCTCACACAGAGGCTTCACAGTGCATTGCACATCAGATATCACTTTGCTCTGGCTAATTTAGCAAACCCACTCTGAGCAGCTCTAACGGGAAAATGTTGACCCGATGCTCAAACTTTCCTCTTACTCAAGATGGCAGCAGAGATACTATGAGTCACTCAACAGAGCTGGCTCCAAGATTTATTTTCTGCACTTCTACTCTCAAGTCACTGGAAACAGATCTATCTTGTGTTGGAGCAAGGGAGAATCTAATAGAAAATAAAACAAGAGAGTTTCAGGAGATGTTTCCGGATGTTACTTACTGTGTCCTGTTGCTCCTGGCCTTCTCCACTTCTTTCCACGGAGGAACACATGATGTTTGCATGGCCTCGTTAGAGAAATGACTTGTCTCCAGGTTGCAGTGTCAGAGACAAACCAGAGGAGTGTCCTGGAAAAGAAGAAATAGATGATGTGAAACAGATGTTTTCCTTTAATTGCTTATTGCAGATGCAGCCCAGTAACTAACCCACCTGCTATCTTCCCACAGGGATAATTCCTCCTCTCCACGATCCCAGCCAAATGAATTTATGTTTCCATGCCACATTACACCCATCTCCACTTTGCCCAATATTATGCACCAAGACCATGTCAGTTTGCAAACATTTAAAAAAAAAAAAAAAAAAAAAAAAAGGAAAAATAAAGGAAATGCCAAAAAAAATGCAAGTATTTTTGATGTACTTAATTACATACATAGATTCATGTGGAAAGCAGGGTTTTCCAGAGTACCTATGGATGTTAATTCAAATTATCAGTGAATTCAAGGCATGTCACAGCCTTAAATACAGCACAATGCATACCTAAAATCTCTGCTTCTTCAAAGAGCAGTTTTGTCATAAGAACTGACCAGAAAGATACAATGAAGATTTTGTTGCCTACACAGGCCACCCCTTGAAACAAGATCAGCTCACATCTCTGATGCTGCATGGTGTCACTGGCTGTTCTCATTGCCAAGGAAATTGGGTTTCAGTAGAGAAGCCAACAAGAAAGCAATCTGAGAGATGATCATTGACTGAATTTGATAGGAATGGAAAAAGAACGTGACCTGAGCTACAAACCTTGTTATGGTCCTCATTAATACAGTCTTCATCTTTTCTTCTTTTTAAGGGAGTTACTTATTTCTCTGCCTCAGGCAAGAGCAAAAGCCAGCTGGAGATGATTTAGTCCTACTTCACTAATGTTGACATCTCTGGATTTAATATTGGCTTTTTTGGAACCCTACTACGAATCTTTGGCTTGGCGAGGTGGCTCAGGTAGTTATCCTGAGCATAATATTTTGTTAACCAACCAGCTGCAGATCTATTTCAAATATGAAACAGGATTCTGGTCAGCCAGGACTAACAAAATCTCCTCAAGCTCTTTCACTGCATGATGCTCAACAGCCACCAACTCTGGGGAATGTCTTCAAAAGGTTTTCAGTGAGCAGCTTAACTAATGCCTGCTGTAGAAATACAAAGCAAAACCAAATCTTCAGAAAGAAAGGCCAGTGGCTGGAGAGATGGGTGGATGATGCTGGGTATAGCAGACAGGGAGCTGCAGAGAGCAGGATTGTGCATTGAGTCCTACCAAGGGAGGTCACCACTGACAAGGCTCACCACTGACAAGGCTCAGCAGAAAGGGCAACCAGACTCAGCCAGCCCAAATCCCACTGCTGTTCATATGCCCCATGCTTTCCAGTGTCTCTGGAGGCCCATGAATACCTGATTAAAAAGGACTAAAGCAATGGCCAAAGCAGAAACTGGAAAAGAGCCCAGAAACAGCAAGTCTTAAGAACAGACAATAAAAACCAAGGCGTGTCACGACAGTCTTTGTTCACATTGCCCTCCTTGGGGGCAATGGCCTGTGATGGACAGAAAGCTAAGCATCAAAATCCCTGCCAAACCAGAAAGATGGAGCTGAATTGAAAAAATATCCTGTGCAAGACTGCTCGGGCAATATTTTACCTGCCCTATCTATGGATATTAGCTTTGCATTGCATTCTGTTCTTCATGTGCAGGATTATTTGGAACAGAAAAATATCAGGAGATACAAGGTTTGCCTTCATCAGTGATACATAGACCTTCAGTAGTACAAGAGCACCAGGAAAAAGAAGGAGAATGGTGATTCAGCTCCTATGAAAATCAAGTCATTGTATGTTTACAATGATTTTAGCTTCACCTAATAGCATCTGGACTTCCCTCAGAGTAAATCTCAGAGATTTTCAACAGGAGAGCAATGACTGATTTGAAATATCTTTTGATTTCATTTTGAGTAGTTCACGCCCAATTTGGTGCCCAATGGACAGGCAGTTCCAGTGAGAGAAGCTGCTACACATAACAAATTGAGATAAATTTCAGTGGAGAATTTCCTAATCTCACCTGCAATATCCAGTGTCTGTTATTATGCCCATTTACAGACATGAACAGTTCCCATTACTTGCCAGTGGTGTGCAAAAGCCCAGGATATAACCAGTTTCAATGTCTGCTTTCACAAAGCAGTATTAGCTACAGTATTTGAGGTGAAAGAAGTAAGACCAAAACGAAAGCATATCTAAACAAATTAAATTAAAGAAACCTTTCAGAATAAACTTATCTTGTGCTCTGCAAACAACCTTATGTGTTTAATGAAAATTTGATGGAAATCTAAATTAGCCCAAATTTTATCGGAATAAATCATCTAAACAAAAATCACTTCTGAAAAGGACAGATATTATTACTAGCCATCTGGAATGCATTACTCCTTTCCAAGCAGCACTGTTGATATTGAAAGTGTTGTAACAATATCCTTTTCTAATGTGGTTCCACAGTGGCTCCATCCATAATAAAAGTAGTCAGGGCCAGAGAACCCACTTAGCATGACAAGGTCCCCAAACCTGGATTATTTGGATAAAACTCTAATTTGACATCCCAACTTCCATGGTTTTTATGTATTATATTTCTTATAATAATTTTAAAGGAGACCAAGGAATGGGCATCGTCTAATAGGGGGAAATGATTTTGCTGAACCATGCATCCTCTAAATTCTTGTAAATCCTAACCCCACACTAAGAAGAGATGGAAACTGAAAAGGAGGAAAATATCCTCTGTTTCCTGTCTTGCAAAGTCTAAAATCACCATACTTTTATACTTTCTAGACTATTTGGCCAGAACTGCAGTAAGGCTACATTCCAGATTCAGGTGTACACTATAGAAAAGAAAGAATGCACAACATTCTCATGCATTAATACTCAAGATACAATGTCTTTATGCCAGTATACTCAGAAAGGTTTAGTCATCTTGAAAAAGAACTATCAGCAGAAAAAGCTGGACACTCACAATTTTTTAGATCAAGTCCATCAAAGAGTGGCAGTCCAGTCTGTCAAATAATGGTATTTCTACATTAATGTTGGTGTCATTTTTCCTGAAATAACATTTCAATAAATTAAATGTTTCAATAAATTGAAATGTTGCTGTATTGCATATCCCAGCATTATTACCCCTTTAAACTTGGTGATCAGATACAGACAGCTTGATATCATAAGATTAATTTCCTTATGAAATTAGACCAAAAGTGATAGAAGTTCCCTGGATTTTGCTGCTAGGTGTCTACCCTATTATTAAACACTCCTTTATCCACATGCTGGTGCACTGTGTGATCCTGACTTACACATATAAACTCAGTTTTTCCAGCTGTGTATATTTGTGATGATAAACAAAAAATTCTTCTCCTTTGTAAAACCTTTTCAGAGCTTCGTTGGGGAAGAACAAGAAGTGATTGCAAAATAAATAAATAAATAATAAAAACATCATAACAGAGACTGTTGAATGCTGGAGATGACCAGTTCCAGCTGTTCTATCAGCCAAACACTTCCAAGCAATTTAGCCCACAGCAGCAAATGCCTATGAAAAGCTGCTCAGGATGAGAAGAGTCAGAGCTGCTTGAGAACATCTTTGAAGTCTTGGTCTTCACCATCAGTCTGCTCTTCCCTGCGGTCCCTTTACTCTGCATTAACCTAAATACCATCCCTTCTCAGAGAATTAAAGAGCCTTGGGTGCAACTTCACATTGTTCTTTGCCCACACTGAGAATTGAAGCCCGTGATTTGCAAGAAGCCACAATACCAGCAACAAAACATTGTCTATGTGGTTGTTGGCAATTGCTGGGACAAAACATGGCTTGAAGTCATAACAGGACCTGGGGTCCTCCCTCCATCCTCACTACCCTCTCTGAGATCCAGCTGTGAGCCTTTCTTCTTGCTTTCTTCATTCTCTGTGCTGCCTGATAGTAGAGTCCTGCCAGTCAACAATGAGAAACAAGAGAGCAGTGTCTTTGTCCTTTGGCTGTCCAAGGATAGGGCAGTAATTCATTTTGCCAACATGCCAAGGACTTGCCAACAATTTCAAAAGCAAGTTTGTTATAAATGATTCTTCATGGTGAATTTCCTTAACTCACCAAAGGAGGAAAGCAAAGAAAAATGACAAGGGGCCTCGTTCCTTTTCTTCAGAAACTGAGATTTATTGTAGGCGAACTGAGGATTCCAAAACATTACTCCTATAAGGGAAGGTAACTCAATCTCCAATAAAAATAAACAGCCACGTTTAAATAAACCTTCTGCAATTTGTTACTGCTGTTTTCCCCTCAGAAGCTGGGGGAACATTTCTTTTGTCTAATTGAGCTACTGCACAAGATGCTGCTAAGTGCCTGCTCTGAAGAGCCAGAAATTTCCTCTGCTTTGTGTGGCCTGTTAAGCCGTAGGAAGGATAAAAGGCAGAAAACAAAGGGAAAAATTAAAGTACGATGAGCTGCATTTGAAGTGCCTGGCAGATGCTGGTTTGCTGCTCATGGGACTGCCTTCAGCACCAGAGTAGAGGTTTGCCCATCCTTCTGCCCTGATTCATGTGTATATGTAGAGAAGGATGTATGTGCTAAGTCTTCTCCTGATACATCCTACAAGCCAGTGGTCAGTGGTTTAGGGACTTCCCACAACGTTTCCATGAGTAGTGAAGTCAATAAGTCACAATAACGTTGGAGCCACATACCCTGCCAACATCTGAGGACTTGAGAGCAGTGAATGGTGTCCCACCTGAAAACCTTGGGAGACAAAGCTCAAGCCAGTGAAACAAAAGTGGCAATACAAGAGTCTCATTTCACCAATACAGATTGTTTGACCCTGCTTTCAAAGCACACGTAATAGAGCTCATAGCAAGGCGCTGACATCAAGGGGACAAAGAGCTCAACACAATGAACAATAAATGGATTAAATAGAGTTTGAAAATAAAAGCAGACGTTCAAGAGAAAAAAAAAAGCAAGTCATGGGCGTCCAGCCCAGTGAAGTTAACAGAGAAATTACATCTACCTGTGTGACCCTTGTGTCAACACCGTGTTCTTTGCTCTGCATACTTTTGTTCTGAACCTTTTCTTCCTTAGCAT